ATATAAAAATAGATTTTGGTCATTGAAAAAAATTCTAAAAAATCAACGATAATCTTTAGCGACTTGAAACCTGCACTAAACTTTAGTGGGCTACAAAACTGGATAACCGAAAATTTTCTAAATATTCTAGTAAAATTTTTTTAAATTTTGTTGACAATTTTTTGAAGTTTGTTTAATTTTTTTGAAATTCGTGCAAGCTTTGAAACTTTTATTAATATGGTTTCTGTTATAGATTGAATTATATTTTAAATAAAAATTATCAAAAATAAATACATAAATAAACATAAGGTAAAACAATATCATTTTGAATTTCGGTGCTAATTAGTTGAACGCATCTGTATTCCAGCTCAATTCGGACCCCATTTGGCTTTTGTATCTCTGATTTTGATTTTTAACCGTCGGAATATTTTTTTTTTTTTATGTTTGTAACCGCATAACTTTGGAGCACGTAGTGTCTCAAAGGTGGTCCCATACTAATCTAGTTTAGATCCGATCATTGGATCATGAAAAATTTTTTATATAAGAATTGAAGTCGATTTTGTGTTTTGCTTAAAATTACTTGTTTTCATAATTTTTTATGTTATAGTACTAGTTAATAGAGACGCCCCTGATTTTTTTTTTGTTCAGCCGTTTTTGAGATATCGCTTTTTGAAAATATACAACGTTGCTGACCGACTGATACCATTTTTTTGGTGAAAATTTTCATTTTAAAATACTTGAAATATGAGATAGACAAAATTTTCAGAACCGTATTCCTATAAAATTTCTTGCAAATTTTTAATGTACATATTATGTAAAAAAAAACCTAAAAAAGTGTCGCTCATTCCGCAATTTTTAAGCCTAGCCCAAAAACGGGATAATAATAGTATCTATTTTTTTTTGAATTTTTAAATTAAATTACGTTTATGGCTCAGAAAAATTGTTTTTGGGCCAGAGTTCACGGATACTCCTATTAAATTAATAAGGAAAACCGTGAAAATCGGGACTTAATCGGTACAGTTATGAAAAATCAGGACCCTTATACGTCCCGATTTTTTTTTTTAATATTCAGCGGGAAAATTTTCTTAAAATCGGTACTGTCCCGCCAAAATCGGCACGAACGGTCACCGTACTTACATATATATAAGTACATATACTAAAACTGCGAATATGCATATCGCGTAAAACATTCGCACTTTCTATTGCACATCCACCAATAACCAACGCTAAATATATCGAAAACTCATTAAGCAAGAATTTTAAAAGCTTCTTCATATTTTTGCAAATGCTCACAAATCAAATGATAAAAATCAATTCATACATTTTTTGAACAACTAAGCAGCTTAAGATAAACAAGCAAAGTAGCTAATGAACAAAGCAGAAAGCCTTACAATTAACACGAGCACAACCGGAAAGTAGCAACAACAACAAAACACCTTAAACTCTACGCCAACATATCCGATAAAAATATCAAATTTATGACTGTGGTGTTTATGATTTTTTTTTTTAGTTCGCGCTGCATATCTGCAACACCTTTGATTTGAAAAAATAATAAAACATAAAAATTAAAATTACAATGGTACGTTCATATTTATGTGTGCATGTACAATTCTACAAATGTACTATATTTAAACAACTAAAATGTGTAGCAAGTGCATATTCAGTGCGTCCAATTTTAACTCTTCTATAATTTCTCAAGTAGCACTTATGTATGTAGATGCATATGTTTATGTAAATGAATGTCTTTAATTGATCAGCCATAGCATATTTCTGAAAGCCTGAAAATCTTATAGTTTGCAACTGACGTGAAATTTCAAAATTTTAAATACAAAATTTATAGGCAAAATGTGTTAAGTTGAAGATGGTTTGTACGTATTCAAAAAGCAACAAATCAAAAAACTAAAAAATAGGCAATTTTATGATGCTTAGCAGCAGAAGCAGTCACTTAACAGTTTTCTTTTATATCAACTTAAAAAAAAATTTAATACGCACATATGTGTATGCGTAGTGGAAAAAACTACTGGCTAGATTTTTATATCATTTATATTATTCGGCAGCGCTTTTGTTTGCACCAGGTGTGTTTTTTTTTCTTCTTTTCCACTTTGAAATATTATACGAGTATTTGTGAGTTTTTCTTAAAATAGCAAATATACCTACGATGAGTGATTTTATAAATAACTGGTAAATGTTAGGGTAAAGACTGTTTAATAAGAAATTTTTATGTTTTCTTGTTTTTGATTTGTTATTGGAGGAGATAATAATAGACACTCGCGGCATAGACTAGCAAATCTTAGTTATTAATAATTTTTGTTTAAAATGAAACCCTCAGAAAGGTTCGGTTTAGTTTTTAAACCAGGGACCGAAAATAACCATTATAGAACAAGGTTTCGTTTTTAATTCAGTGTAAAATTGGAATTTTTGATTTATATTTTTTGCGCTCAAATTTAATCGTTATTTTGTGATGTTTATTTTGTTCGATCAAAATAATCGTTATTTTTATTTTTATTTTTTTTTTTTGATAAATTTTGACCGTTATAATGAAAGCTGCATTTTTATGACCGATTTTTATGATCCAAAATATTAAATCTAAAACTAACGGTTATGAAATGATCAAAAAAAATAAAAATCAAAAGTAATGATCAAAAATTTATCGAAAAAATAAAAATTCAAACATAGCGATCAATCTTTATCGAAAAAAATATATGTATATCATAAAATAGTTTTTATGATTAAATTATGAAGTTCAAAACAGAAATATCTTAAATTTAGAAGTCAGCTTATAGTCAAAATGTAAATTTGTTTTTTATTAATTTCAAGTATACTCCGATTTATGTATTTTCCCCCCATTTCTCTGTCATCCATTTCTTGAAAAGTATAGTTCATTTTAAGCTAAACTAGTTTCGATTATCCAAGTCCCGAATATCCGCTATCGCTGTAAAGAGAAGTTACGCCCAGAAAAGTCATGTGTTGAGAAAAATCATATTTAGTTGACGTAACTAAACTCTTTTCGCAGTGTAATTTTGGAAAAAGTAAACGACGTTTCAGGATTTATATGTCAGAAGTGGCTTGGTCCTGACCAGCTCGGATGAATGGGACTCTACTGTATTATTTATTAAAATCGATGGAAAATTAGTTGGGTTAGTCTAGACTGGCTAAGCAATGTACTCGTTTCACGCAGAGACTAAGGTCCATAGCATTACCACTAGAACTAGAACTAAGTACATATGACCAGTCAACTTATCTAATCCGTGGCATCATGCGCAGCTTTGGAATAGACAGCAGCTTTCTTGGTTAGCTGGGAAACATTTTTGTGTCCTCTGTTTGTGGTGACTCCAAGGGATGATTCACAGTCCCTCCCTCCTTTCTTAGCGAGTCTGTCTGCCTCCGCCTTGCCAATGACGCCAGTGTATCCAGAGATCCAATACAAATGTAGTATGTCCACCCCCATCTCTGTTTGTGATTGAGCCATGGTTGCTCTGCACTTCACCATATATTTTGGGGAAGGCTCTGGCATATTAATGCCTTTCTAGCAGCCTGACTGCCATTATAGATATCACTCTTCCATTTATCCGGCGACCTTTGAAATGATCTATTGTGCGTGACCCCCCGCCTTATAGGGGAAGGCTTTTAATGTAGCCTTGTACTTTCAAGGGCGTTATGTTCCAAATTTCAAATGGATTAAGTGTAGCACCACCCAAGTGAGCTAGTCTGCGCCTAGAAAGAGCGTCACATTCACATTCCTCGTCCAGCTCACAGAAGCGACAGACATTTGTTTCTGAAATATTCATTTTGCTGAGATGATAGCGAAGGGAGCAATGTCCCATATAGTACCCAGTGAGAGTTTTTGGGTCTCCTCTGTCTAAGTTGAGCACTTTTTTTGAAGTTTCGTTTGAATATATCGACGATGTGCCTCTTCTAAAGCATTCTCTGCCACAAATTTCTATTGCATGAATCTGCGCTTGAAAGGCCAGACCCAGTTTTACGATTATCAAGTTTAAATCCATCTGTGTACCAAACCTCTCC